ATTTCAGAACTTGCACCCCATCGAGATATACGTAGGTACATGTAACAATATGAATCGATAACCTTTTTAAAAATGTATTCACACTTCAGCACTATGCAGCGGTAAGCTTCATATAGTAGCAGTCTACGCAACAAATTATTTAAGATCAATTCTCTAAGTTTGGCAAAGACTGACAGAACTAGAGATTAATGGTGTGTGGATTAGAGCCGGGGCGTCCAAAAGTTAAAGACAACCCAAGTGAACGAAGGACGAACTCTTTTTTCTCTCCTTCTCACACAATAATTAGCATAAGTGCTATATTACGTTGGTTCTTAACACAACTTTTTCCCGAAAACAAACAAGCCAATAGTATAATAAACTATTATTTTCAAAGCGCGCTCTAAGTTACTTTACCTTTTTTTTATAAAATTTGTTAATTTTTTTCTTAGTAGTAACACTATAATAAGTGACTTATTAAGTATAATAAATATAATTTAGCACTAAAAAATTATATTTACTGTTTTTTAAACTATCCTGAATAGGGAGCGGAGCGGATATATATATAGTACTAGTACTATATATAATATATAGGAAACGACACAAAAATCCGCCGAGACACATATATATCATATATAGTAACTAATACTATTACACGCTTAATCAAAGAGATTTGACTAAGTATGCCTCCCTCGAAACAAAGAAATCATTTATAGAAAACATTATCCATTGCTAAACTAGTTCTCCTGCCTGCGTTTGTCTTCGCTACTGACAGGCGCAAAAGCTTGATCTAGCAACTAGCTGTGTTCATTAACTGTGTATATAGTGTAGTAGTTAACTAATAACAGAACTTTCTAGGAATGTTACACTGAGAACATCTTCGAAAGGAAATTCTAGTACTCAAGGCGAAGCTTAGAAGAAAGTTGAATAGTTTGTATGATACCTATTTGTGTCTTACTTTATTTATGATTTAAGCTATAAAGTCATTCATCAAGCTACAAATTTCCCGTGATAATAGAACCAGCTAAAACTTCGCCATCAGATACAGAGAATTTAGCACCTGCCAAAGGGCTTTATTCAACCATAGATTTTTACCAAGTTTAAAAGTATATCTTTCGCTACGACCCAAAAGATCCTAGAAGCTTCCCAAAGCACAACGCAACGCTCACAATAGAGCAGTTTCAGGAAGGTACCATAGTCACTCTGCATCAGGTTTATGTCAAATCAATGAGTTCAAGTATCAAATCGGATACTAGCCATATTAGTCTGGGTTTAATTAAAATCCGACCCAGCAGAGGACTTGCAGAAACATCAAAGTTGACCCATTTGTAGAGTAGAGGGTGACATGACCCAAAACTGATGTCATTGCATTCACGTTGTGTTCCGCCTTTGGGTGATACCAATTCAACCCCCTTAGAACGAAACCCGCTGGAAACCTACTTAACACTCACCCGAAAGACCCAGTCCGTAAGTGGGTAATTTAAAACAACAAGGAAAAAGAAAAGAGAAAAGAGAAAAATAAAAAGTTACTTGTCCAAGTGACTTTTATATGTATTTGCCCTAACCCTTAACCCTTACTCCTTTGTAGTTACAAATTTTACCAATTTAAGTTGATTCATAGAGATTAATTTAAAAATAAAGGGGCATGTGAAAGCGTTATTATGTGTAATTATAAAGAATAATAAACATGTTTCTTTTCTTTTTAATTTGATGATCTTTATTTAATTTAAAGTTAATTTATCATCACTTGACTGACCGATTTATGTCCTAAAAATATGGTAGCAGTTTTTCTCGTAGAAGTTTTTTCTCGCCGCCTCTTGCATAGTATTACCCACTGAATGGGGCCCGCGATGGATTACTAAGATTAATGAAAGATATAGTTTATTTCATCACGCGGCCGAAAGGGCTTCCCCTTCTCCATGTTTTACTATGAAAAGGACATTTTCACACACTCTCCGCATAGAAGCAACTCTATCTTCAATTATAGTAGCAAAATAAACTGAGGCTTGGGATAAGGTGGCTTGAACTCAGAGGTTAACAGTACTTTTATTAGTGCCCGTTCCAATAAGCGCGGACTTCGGGTCGTAGGACTAGTACCCAACGTCCATAAGGGAGACGGGGGCGCTGGACGTTCAAAATATCGATTTTTATAAACATTATTTCAACGAAAAGTGGTGTTCTTTAGGTATTTTTGTCGGCCTATCTGTAAGGCCTTCCTGTGCTGGGCGACGAAAAGAGGACACGAGGACAACTACTAGGACTTTTATAGACCGGGCTAAATTCTTCGAAGGGGCCCTCACGACAACCCTTTTCTAGATTTTCGGCGATACCGACGAGACCCCATCCACTCGGCATTGCAGTTGCTAAATTTAAGGCTATGTGGCCGTGGCGTACTACATCCTCACAACGATTTCGACCGTCTACTCGATGAACTAAAGGTTCTACCAGCGTGCGTCACGTCTAATTTACCTAACCACGGTGTCACAAAGCCCACTGTAAATTTACCGCTTGATCCATTACACAGGCGCATTTACACATCACAACCCACCGTAGGCGATCAAGTTGAGCCATATCTCTGAAGCTGGCGATAACGCGTTTGTCTCTTTCTGTCATTACTAAAATATAGTGGGCGCATTTACCTCTACCCCCCTTACGGGACGGCGTCTTTGATGGCGGAAGACGAGGAGACAAATATACACCTTCTTCTAATTCATCTGTCTTCTCAGTGTGTGTCACCTCCTTTAATTGAAAAAGAAATGCTTTGTAAGTCAAACTTTTTCGATGACAAGGAGAAGCTGATCAATCTCCACAGTTGAAATTAAGATTATAATAGCCCTACCAAAGCGGGAGGCACCAGGTACCGACAGTATTAACGTAATGTTGAGCAAATGTCAATAGTGCCGCTGGATCCTCCATGCCGCCTCAACAACTAGAACGCTTGCCCTCGGCTCTTTTACGTTGCGATGAAGATGGTTACTGTTGTAGTTCCCATAAGGATATGCGCTTAGGCGATGGTTTAAAGAATTACCGGTCTATCAGCCTGTATCAGCAGTTGGGAAGTAAGTTAAACCGTTATAACCCTACCACTGTTATAATTTAGATTGCATTAAGCATTCAACGAGGCAAGTGCTCCTCCGCCTGATGGAATGAACGATCTGCGACTTTAATTTTTAGAAAGCAACAAGAAACATCTTACTTAAAGTCAAAAAGAAAGAAAAGTCCATTTCATCGCCAAGAAGCGCTCTGCACCACCACTGTCACTGCCCTTTGAAGACAAGATAAACCTTTGGTGTCCTCAAGCAGCCCTCATTGGCAATAAGCTCTCGTAGTAACCATGTAACTTTCCAGCGAAGGTCACAAGGCAGCGATGCAAACTTTTCTATCTTTTACTTTGTGCAGGAAGCAAGTTTCGTAACACAGCAAGTGACGCTTGTGTGTGTTGTATACCCGGTCAATCATAACATACGTATCTGTGGTCTGGGCCTACAACTCACCAGAAATAGTCTCTTCGCTTCAAAGGAGACATAATAAGCTGCTACGACAAATGACGGGCGGACCGTGGTTAAAAACGACTCCTTCACATTAAGACCTCCCCTTGGGCACCTGGCTACTGATTTTTAACTCAACCACCTACGGATGGCTTACTTAGTACACCATTAATTATTGGCAGAAGACCTTAGTTACGGGCTAACGAGTTATAATTATAAATGTGGTCTTCTTTATTACGTTGCCGAAAAACTTTCCATCGGCTTTAATACACAAACGACACGATCATCTTTATGGTCTACTATAAAAAGGATGCTTATGCTTTCTCCGCAGAGTAAAATTTTATTGTCTCGAGAAACTTCTGGAACAAACCTCACGTGTAAAATCTCTATGCGTGCTCTGTAAAAAGAAAAAAACGCATTTGCACATAGTCTGATAGCTCCATTAAATGAAAAAAAAACTAATTAAGAAAATGAAAAATATATGGTTATTATAAAATACGTAAGGGTGGAGCAGCATTAATCCTTGTGTTAATATAGAAACTATGTCAAAGTGAGCTCAACCTGATTTAAGTAAAAAATAACCTTTTACATCGTTAAAAATATAATCTAAATCCTTACTTTTTACTGTGTTCCTTAAGAAGCTAGACTTACTTTTATTCATCTGTTCTTTAGACGCTTAGTATCAGTCCAATGTATAGCCACCTATATAATGTGTACGCTTTTCTTTTTTTGTGCTCTAGACAATCAAGTTATACCTTCTCCTATTCCTGTATACTGAAAGCTACCGTTCAAAACTAAATTGAAAATTTCATACTCATCTTAGTCGGAAAGGCAACCTGACACACATATATTTATGTTGCTGTCCCTATGAATTCGTAAAAATTTTCAGTTTTAATCGGGTACTGTGACAAGATTAGTTTGTTATCACACCCCTCAGAAAAAGTTTATATATGGACTTATAAATGGTAAATTGCTCGTTATAATATTCAGCGTTGGTTGACTAACTTTAAATTGGTTGAAATATAAGCTAAATGTAATGAAAAACCTTAAAATTATCAGAATCGACTTTAATGAAAACTAATACTAAATGACCTAGGCCCAACTTTTCCCTACTTTTTAAACTATATAACTGCCTACCATTCTATAACAAAGATAGTTAACAAATGGAGGTTTTCTGAATATAAAACTTAAAGAATAGATACTAAAAAAAAGTTAGCAACAAGGGCGGTAGTTTTAAATTATTGGTGAGGAGAAAGGTATGGTAGGCCTATATACAGAAACTGTAACATTGATACGGAATAGAATAGGTCCCCGTTAGATTGAATTATAAAAAAAAATCCTTTATTACATAAAAAAATTGCTATGCTACAAATAGTATGTATTAAAAATTTTTTTAGAATATTGAGCTGTGTATAGCATTTACTTTATGGCACTTGTGATAAAAATGGTAGCAGTTCACACGGGATTTCCAATAAAATGAGGTATTTTGTTAGGTTTCCCCACGCCTCTCGAAATTCTTAAGCTCTCAAAGTTTTTGTTTGATTTTTGTAGTTCGTGTCTATTAGTTATGGACTTGGACTTATCTTTAACTGAATACCAAATGCACGTTGATCTTTCTAAAGTTTTCTCTACAGACAACTTGCTTAACTATGATCCATGCGTATTATGCGACTAGATAATAATTTTTACAGAAACTTTAGCCGTTATCTTTATTATTCAACACTTACAATTTTTTTTTACATTTTATTTTTATTTATTTTTTAAAGACTCAACTTGAATCTTTCTCTTCTGACGGGGAAGTCACAGGTTATTTAATTAAAAGCTCTTATACAGATATTATATATATATTGTTTAAACTATATATATAAAAATAAAATAATCTCTAAAAGTTTCAAAACAATTACGAGCAGAGGAAAAATTTAAAACTTTATTAGAAAACGTGGAACGGTATATTTATTATATTTCTTGCTTATTTGAACTTGTGTCCTTATAAACTTTATTTATTATTCACCTTTTGTAGACTTATACAAGTAAAGGTTAAAATACTTCCTCTTTTTAACGATAAAATTAAAGCTTTAGAAAGAGAAAGGAATTTATGTGAAATTTTACTAGAGTGATATATCTTGCTTGTTACACTTAGAGTTGAAAACAGTAAATTAAAGCTATAAAACTGTTTTACTTATAACAATAACTTTGTCCCCTTAAGAAAAAACCATTTTAACAATATTATTTGTAAGTTTTCAACTCCTTATAAGTTTATTTTGTTATACAACTATAACATAGACTTACTGTGTATATTACAATTACTTAAACTTAGAATAGTATTTTTTTTTGAATACTTCGGCTCTGCTAGAGAATTTCGGTATCTCTGTTCGTAGCTAAGTTGAAAAATTAAATATATTTTAAAAGCCAAACTTATTATCCTATAGTGTTTCGGCTAAACCCAATAAAACGCGTCGTGGCGATACTTTTAATTCTTGGTTTAAAGTGTAATAAACAACTTGGAAAATAAAAGAAAGGGGTTGCCACTATTTCTGGTTTTGAAAGCTTACATATATAAATTATAATAGATACTTCAAAGACTTAGGAATGTTTGAATTTATTTTTTAATATAAAATTTTTCCGGTTTTTGGTAACTTTTAGCTTATTGTAGCTTCAAGCACTTAAATAACAAACTGTTAACAGAATAGACATTACATTATACGTAGTACTAGGTTTCTTGTTTAATATAGGTGGTTTGGCGTGGTAGTAAAGGGGTCGACTTAGCAAGGACGCCGCGCATTAGCTATCTAGCCTACTGATCAGCAATAAATTTTATAAGGATACAATTAGACTAATACTCATAGTTGTTGTCTGTAAGTAAGGGATTTAAGTTATTGTACATATAGGGAAGCATATATCTACCTTCTGTAAAGGTATAAATACAACCCGAAAACTGGTCAATAAATGCCTTCCTTGCTCTCGTTTTACTTCTTTAATTTGAATCTATATATTTATTTTATACTACATTATTCTATTTAATTATACACTTACAATACTTATACTTAACTAATCCTTGCTTTAATATACTTTTTTCATATACATGTACACATATTTTGAACTTATCGTTTCAGTTTCATTCTCGTTTAGCTTTGAATTCGATCGCTTTTTGGTTTTGAGAAGAGGAAGTGTGTTTATAGGTTCGAATATCAGTTTTATTCTCGTTCGGCTTTGAGTGCAACCGTCTCGTCTTTGACAACAGGAAAAAACTAGCTTCTTTTATTGGTTTGTTTATAGTGTTAGTTTTATCTGTTTTCTTTCATTACTCAAGATATACGTTTTGTGTTCAGGTCCCGAGTGTCTGAGGCGACCTCATTAGTTTGTATTATCGGATGTCTAACTTGTCAATGTAATGATGTATTGGTGGTTACCATGTACTGAATTCGGGTTGTCGTTGTGTTGTATGAAAAGATGTTTTTAAAGAAAGTCGAATTTGATAATTTGGTTAGTATGATTATTTTGTATAGAATACTCGTCCTCAAAGGAATCAGTAGTTTCGAGAGTAAAATGCCTTCTAATGCTCGATCGTTCGACTTAAGTTTATATTTATAGTCGTATACCAAAGCCTTTGCAGCCGAGAGTTTTTTATGATTACAGTTTTGGATACCTTAAACTTTATATTTCGTTTAGAGTTAAGCTGTTATGAGCTTTAGGGGGGTTGTTTCCAAAAATTCTAGAGCCCACATGGTCTCACCCCAGTATTCTGATGGACATCTCATGTTTACAAAAGTTTGTATAATTCTTTCATCAGCATGTATTGAGGTACATCTTGAGGTACGTCCTTGGGAAATTGATCTAAGGAGTACCAGGTTTTTAAATTTTGTTTTTGAACTCATTAGTAAATTCACTTTAAATTCATTCCTTTATCGTTCGAACCTCTCATAAATGCTTTTTTTTTTAATACTATTAAGTATTAAGCTTTTCGTATATTTGTTGTGGTACCTAATTTAGTTAAAGAGTTTTTCTTCGTTTTTATATATATAAATTAATTGTCATGTTTAGAGCGAGCATCTGTTCCGACTATTACGTATCTTTATCCTTAGGAATACGGTCTCGCAGAGTGTTTTGAAGATTCCTCGGTAGCCATTTTTGGATACTTAAAACGTTGGTAGGATGCTATGATACATTTTTTAGATTCCGCTTTTTCAGTCCTTCGGGACAGTCATTATAGCTCTCTAAAGAGCGTACACTGTGAGCACTAGTGCCTCAACCCCTTCAGAAGAGGGGAAGCGGCTTAAGATCTTTAGAAGACCGGTCGTAGTATGCCAGTGCCAAAAAAAAAATAACAACACTTTTTTCTTCTTACCAGTTCCTGGTGCGCGCTAACTTTGTTTGCTTGGAGGGGCTGCTTGTTTTCTAACTAAGAATAAGATATTCAAACAGACTATGCCCATTTAGGTGGTCTACGTATATAAATTATCTTGGGTTTCGATTGGAGTTGAATTGGCTGTGTTTACTTGTAATTTTTATTCATTTTACTTTTAATGTATATTTCGCAATGTTGGAGAGTGAACGGTTGTATGTGTGAGAAAATTTGTTCCAGTGGGTTGTAATTTTGAAAATAACCCAGTTTATAACTAATTTACCTGACACAGCATAATGGTTACCATATATGGAAATGGGATGTAATACTTGGCATATTGACCTAATATAAGTTAAAGATAGTAATTATTTCCCGGAAAAAGGTTCCATTTTCTGGAAATGGCTAATCCTAATCAAGAATTATAAAAGCCAGTTTACAATTTGGAATCAAAAGTTCTTGCTATTCATAGGATTCCTTAGTGTGTCTGCACCTATCTGCTAGTCGATTGACCGAGTGGACTATTTTCTATCCTGATCTTTACACATATATCTTTATATCTAACGGTTATTAATAAAATATATACTTTTATTTCTCTACAAGCCATATACTTTAACAGGGTAACAGCCAAGCTCTCGACTGAGGATATCACTATCTACTTCACATATTAAACCTCTAAAGGTTGGGGTTGCCTGACCCGACTGGAGTATTTTATGGATGTGTACTTAATTAGCATTGAAAGTGCAGTTATGGAAGAAGCTTAACTCTGCATGGCAAGTAATTATCTCCACCACTGTCCTGCTTTGATGAAAATAGTCAGAAAAGCGGTGGGAATGGTTTAATTGGAGCTAAGTTGAACCCGAGTGCACTGTGCACTGCCTTATATAGTAAGTTGAATGTGAATAACAGAAGGAATACTTCAATACTTCTTTCATAAGAAGAATTGACCAATATTAGAGAAGGCGAGAATGAAGTTATTAGATCTTTAGTAGAGAGAATCAATTTGTTGTGCGCACGAATAAAGCACCAAGATCGCGAGGAAAAATAAGTGACCGATGGTGCTTTCCCTTTTGATGATATGTGGACCAACTTTAAGCAGGTTATCTTAAACAGAAATTGTTTAACTGACAAACTAATGCTAATTGACGTAGTTGAAGCTGCTTTCATTCGGGAGGTGACAGTGAATCGATCCCACGCAAATACAATCGAGGTAGCACTAAAGATGAATAGGTTTTCCATTAGGCCGAAAAAAAAAAATTAGGCTTCACATGAATCAAATGAGGACTGATTCATGTAAGCGCTGCGGTAAACCCAATCGTCGTAGGGCCCAGTGTTACAATATATTTATGAAAAGTTCCGCAGCTATTGTAAAAGAAATGGTCATAACTCTAGGAAATGTTTACAAAGAAAAAAATAAGGGTTCGCAAGTACTTATAAATGTGGTATCGCTTCATATCATTACCAGGAAAATGGGATGTAGACCAAACCTGAACCCCCAATGTCGTCCAATGATCGATTTAACTCTGGGCCAGCTGCCGCTTTTTTAAGAATAGAAGTATATTAAACCCTATCTCCAACCATCTGAAAGTATATTAGTGACAGATGGATCACTAAAGGCCAAGGTTTTAAAGGAAACGGTAAGGTTAGTTGGACCTCTCTAAATAGCAGTCTGAGACCTCCCTCGTTTGAAATTAGGAACTCTTACGTTCATACAGATATGGACTATAAAATGTATATTTCATGCCCTACGGAAAAAAAAAACCTGATGGAACCAAATGTTGATGGCGAGAGATACTGCCTACAATTGCAAAAGGCACTCTACGGTACAAAACAAGCAGGATTTCTTTGGTTTAAATATATTTTTTATCCAAAGTTAAAGGATTGGATTATGCAATTAAAGTCGGAACCCTATGTATTTTTAAACGTAAGCGGAAATTTTAAATATTTATGCTTATTTATGTTGAGGATTTTAAGGTTTATACTAGCTTTATACAGAGGGCTCGAAGTCTGATAGAAAAACTGATTATTGACTCAAAAGAAGTTTCCACAAGCTCGTTTACTGGGATAAATTTCAAATACTCTGCTAGTGGTTTACGAATAAACCAAATGTATTATATTGCAAGAATTTTAATTTACTACGAGGTGGAAGATTGCAAACCCATTAAATATCCACTAAACGACTAACAACTTGACCTACAGGAGGACGTTACCTTTAACTGCTCTTATCAGGAAGTAGTAGGGCCCCTTTAGTTTCTAGCGTGCTGTACGAGACCCGATATATACCAACAAGCTCTCAATGCACATGAATACCTGTGGTAAGAAGCGTTGAAAGGCAGCAAATTTATTATTAAAATATTTAACTTCGAGAAAAATTTTCCGCTTTAACGCGATAAAGAGGGGAAAACTCATGGTTGATATTTATTCCTAGGAAAGTTATGGGTCAGCACTCGATCTACGAGCAAGATCCGGAATTTTAATACTAATTAATAACCTTCCAATTGTCTGGGGATCTAAAAACAATAAATTATTGAGACGTCTTCAGCGGAAGTAAAGGTTTCCTAGGGTACCATCAAATGATTTGTGTTACGTACTTAACCTTCGATGCTTTCCTTTTAATTTCTCTGCTGAGTCTTTAGACTTAAGCAAACTTTCTCTTAATTGCTCCTTATACAACCGATTTACTCTTTATTTAGTCTTGTAGAGCGAATTAAATGTTAACAGCAAAAAAATTGAATGACCTATCTTTGAAGCACTGACCTACTATGAACGGATTTTTTAAAAATCTAAAACTGCTTAATTAGGATTTCTCCTAAGATGTCACGGCACGAATACCCGGTGTAGTCTTCGTTAGAACTGGGATACAGTGGGGAAGGTTTGGACCCGACTCCTGCTACTTGGTCTAGTGGGGGGAAAAAGCGAAAATCACCTAACTGGAGGGGCGGCCCCATCAATAGACCAAGACCTCTTGGACACCCCGGCAGGCATCAACGTTAGACACACCTCTCCAATTTCAATTACCCACCCGAAAAGGAGACTTACATGTCAGATTGCTTAATTTACCGAAACATGTAGGTATTCATGTTTGAAGTTGCCTGATCGTGTGTTGGAGTTACCACTTTTTTTCCGTCAAATTATGGCCTTAAGTAATAAAGTTAGATAGATTACCGAATCTTACAGTACTGATCTTTACTGTTTACTAGGCATGTGCGCGAAACTATGTTACAACCTTTTATTTAGAAGCTTTCTTTTAAGTACATGTGCATCTGTGCATTAGCTTTATATTGCATGTCAATGACTCAACCGCGCTACTCGTATCATTAGCCGAAGCGATTATATTAAAGCCGATAGGAGGGGGGGTACTTAAATTAATTTATTAAAATGCATCACACTCACACTCCAAGGGAAATGGCCAAATTGGCGTTATAAAAATCCCAAGGACGACTATAAGTAAATAGCATGCTTTCTTATTTAATAGACTTAGTTGCTTTGCCATTGTCACTTCCAAGTACGCATTTTTCTTTGACAAATAATTATAACATCACCTACTGTTATGAGTTTTACTGCATTTATTATATTTTTAGGTAGAAGAGGTAAATTAACTAACGAATTTAGCATTTCGGGTTCTTAATATTTTTACCAGATGGTTGATAATTTGAACGGAGACTAAGGGTAGTGAAGCTCTAACATCACTTTATGGCGCGGTCAGGTGATATCAGAAGGATATACTTGAATTTCGCTAATATTTTAACATCACTTCAACAAATACATCTCGTTAAGGCCATTTATCTCCTTAGGACTTAATTTCCAAAAATTATACTTGTTTATTAGCCTCATAACTGTAAAAGTTATTTTTATTTAAAAGGACTTGTTACGCGTGGTAATAGGGGCTATTTTTACCGTAATATTATTACTTCTACCTTTATATCCACTATTACTGTTACTGCTAACCATCGACTCGTGACACGGTGCATAGTCTTGAGGAAAAAGCATTTTTTCTTCGCCATTTGAGGTCGAAAATTTTGTAGTTGTTTCCTTTATTGAACCACGAAAGCTATATGATATTCTCTATTCATGATTTTTTTTGAAAGGTAGCCAATGAATTACCTAGGTCATCCAAAATAGAGAACCATAATCATTTCGGCAGACTATTGCGTCTTTGGTCGCTTTTAGAGGCTTCCACCCTTTGCTTTCGGCCGACTACTCATTTGACTTTTTTTAAAATGTAGTGATAGACCCAGGACTCATCCATTGTTACATATCGCATTAAAAATATCCTCTTAAACAGCTTCAAACAGCGTTCCGAATCATTAACACGTTGTTTTTGGTACAGTACGGGCAAAAGCAGTACTCATACCGAGCGAGGTTTTCTCGTGCCCAAATGTTCGTGTAAAATGACAGCTTACACGTTCCGTTGCTTTAGGTTGATCAACGACAATTTTGTGTACTTAATGGACGTTTTTTGAAGTAGCCGCCTCGTTTGGGCGTCCAGAGCGTTCAGCATCATTTATGTTAGTACGGCCCCGTTTAAACTCAGCAAACCATCTACAAACCGTTGTTCCCGACGGCGTAAAGTCCTTGTAAGACTTTTTAAACGGTAATTTTTACCTCATAAAACAGTACTTAATAAACACTAAAATTCGTTTTTTTTAATGAAATAACAAAGGTAACGCCACAAGAATATTAATATCTCGATAATTATTGGAAGGTATGTCAAGTTTTTAAGCGTACTTGCTGGTTGGTAACAACTGAGAATGGTATGGACTCTACCTTATAGGGTACCCGCGGGATAGTTTCGCATATTATTGCCAGAATAATAGTTATTCCACCTTTTATAACCCCACTTTTAGTTAGTGCTAGCATTTTATTCTTAATAATAATTGCTCTTAGAGCCATATCATAAGTAAAAGATAATGCGCCAGATACACTTATTAACCTGCAAGCATAACGATATAAAAACGGTATAAAAGCTTTTTGTAGGTTGGTATTAATATATTAAGGAGGTATAATAAAAGTGTAGGTAAGCCTATTAAAAAAGTGTTACTACTTAAAGAGCTGTAATTATTAGAATTTTTACTGTTAAACCGAGCGATATATATGTTGTTTTTACAAAATACAAAAGTTCGAGTCGATTTATTATGCACGATGGCTAAAAGAGTATTATAAATGGAGAACTACTTTACAGGTAAGTTGTTATTACATTTGAAGTCTTTTAAAGTCAGTTTACAACGAACTTTGTGATAAAAACTTAAAAAACTGAAAGCTTATATACGACATAAAAACTTAAGCTTTATTGGTGTAACCTATTTCTCTATCAAGAAATGTTTCTTTAAGTCTTTCGATGCCATTTATAAGTATATCTGTTTCATAAAATGCAAAACAAAATCGAAGTTTACAAGAATGGCTTGTGCCGTCAACAGAACACTTAGCCCCGCGAAGAACGACAATATCTTGAATATTGTCAAAAACTGTACAAAATTAAAGACAAATAGCATTTTAAGGGCCCTTTTAAATCCAAAATTCAAAGAGTTACGTACTTGGAAGAAATTTTTTATCCACCGTGACCCACAAAAAGTAGCCTCCATAGGGCTCAACAAAGTCGCAATAATCGGCCAAGTTCTCTCGTATAGATCTGCACAGTGCTACCTTAAATTTATCACATATGATAAGTATATGCGCAAACTATATTTAAAGGAAAAGGGGTCTTAAGTAGAAAAACGTGTAATATCGAGATTAACAGAGTTAATTGGTAGCAAAAAAAATATGAAAACGCTACTTATCTACAATAAGAGAAGTACACTGTTCGGTTTGCACAAAAATAGTCTACCTGGTATATTGTTATTCCATACTATTCTGCATTATTTCTTTTATTTTTAAGGCACATTTGCTAAAGTAAGAACTTAAAAAAAACAAAATTCTTTTTCTAAAACGGTTTACTACTGATATAATATTTTTGTTTATATATTTTTCACAAGGAATGCGGCGCAAACATAGAAAGGCTAACAAACTTCAAGTGCACTATTCGTATAGTTGTCCTTGCATTCATATATGACAATAGTAAGAGGAACCTTTCTTTCTTTCAAAGAAGTTCTTAAGCGAACGAGATGTGAAGAAAGGCGATTACTTTTTAAAAGTTGAAGAACGACAGAAGAAGCGAATGGATTCATACAACCTGTTAGATGACATGATATATAGCCAATAATTTTGCCTGTAGATTTATTCATAGAAATGTATGCAATAAAGAAATAAGTAACTTTAATAATAAAAAAAGATTTTCCTTGGCTTTGTATAAATCCTCTCTCGCAGAGTTTCTTAATAATGCTTGGATGAGACTGAATCCATCCCAATCTTAAGTCACAGCAATCACAACGGTGTTAATTAGCGTTAGAATTAGCTGCTCTAACGAGGCGCCGTACCTTAGTCCTGGCGCTAGAATTTTACTGAAAGATCCTACGTAAATTAGGTTTAATAATGAACTTAAAAATAAAGTACATAAAATTTGAAAAGTAATAGAATACCAACTAATAGGTTAGATAAAAAAATTTATTATTAAAAGAATAAGAATAATCTGAAAACCATGGCGCAAAGAACATGTAGTAAAAAGTAATAGCCTAAATAATGTAAAAGCCGATAAGGGCTATAATGAAAAAATAACGGAAAGGTTGAGACCCAAGGAAACCACGTGACGATTTGAATATAAAACTAAAGGAAGAGGAGGCTTTTCCTCAAACCATAGAAGCTGGTAAACATCGTCGCTGTTGTATGATAGAAAATAAACAAATTATTTAGAAATTTATCGTTCTTATATATTTACTTTCCAATCGACGGTAGCCAGTTCTATAAAATTGAATTATAGGCCGAAAAAAATTATTACCTAACTATTATTATGTCATTTTTAGAACAAATGGCCAGAAGTTCCCGCCTACGCGAGTCTGAGAGCGTAGCGCCTTATAAAAACGTAAAATTAAAGTGAGAAAATGATTGGGCGGTAAATATGGAGATAAAAACTGAGAAAGAAACCGACCAAAGTAGCAGTAAGCTTTCATACTTAAAAGTTTTTACAAGAAAATAAAAAGTAGCATTATTAGATGACATGTCATTCTGTTTATGCAAAACTGCTCATCTCGTTGCTATTTCGGATTATTCTTTAGAATAAGAAATTTCTTAATTTTTTACTTTCTCGTATTATTAATCAATATTAAACTATTTAAAACCTAAAAAACTAAATTTGTTACCACAAATATTTTTATTATAAATCTCTTATTTGGTGTATTCCTTATAGCGTTGTGTATGTGTCTTCGGTTACTCATACCCGTAGGATTACTAAAAGTTGGAATGACGTAAAGGAAGGCAGGTTTTCCATATTTAGTAATCTTTAATATCAAATTGTCGATCATTAAACCGTTTTCATCGGTGTCCACCTTAACGAGCTGAGCATAGAAATAATAGGGAAAGTAATGCACATTATGTACTATAAATATATTGGTAAAAGAGAATAAAAAGCTTTAAACGTAACTAATTATCAATATTTAAACTTCACTAAAAAGTTAACTTTAGTAATAAATGAATAAAATAACTGTGATCACAACTACGTTATTAGTAATTTTTAAAATTTTATACTACAATTTCTATATTAAGATTATATTCCTTCTATCCAAATTGGTATAACGGTGTGTCATTTTTCTGAGGCCTGAACAGTCGTTAGCTGCCTACAGCTCAGTTGACTAGTCAGTTCACCTCTCGATATGCTCAAATTTAAACACTTATGTAGTTCATGGCATTATAAACAAAAATAATTCCACATATGCTTGGCACGAAAAATGCTATGGGTTTCGCTCATATTAGAATTAGATATTAACTATTTAACCGCACGTACAAAAGCTATGTTTTAAGTTTAATAGTACTAGCTGTTAGTACAAAGTTTTTTTACTCTTTGTACTATTTCCTTTATAAAAAAGATTTAAGATTTTTGTGTAAAGGTGTCTGCGAAACTATAGTTTTTTAATTCTTTAAATAAATTTAATATTGAGTTGAATAGACATAGGTAGCTCTAAAGGTACTAGATATTATGTATGCTTTAAACCGTAGCATTGTGGTCTTTAAAAGTGTTCATAGCCAAGAAATATGTGGGGTCCTCAACAAAAACCAACTTATTACTTCCGAGTAATATATTACAGCAGAGTTCTAGACCTAAACGTATATGAAGAGAGATTTTTGTTTTTAACAAAACATATTATGAACATGCTTTAATAACTAAAGAGAAACTAACTAAACCAAGAGTTTAAAAAAAAACGAAAGGCTAACCTGAAGACGAGCCGTTTGTAACGAATAAATGCTCGGGGCTAACTCTTAAAGAGTACTCAAAACTTAAAAATTTAGCGAGCTCTTCAAGGAACTTTTATAAGTATAAGTATTAATAAGAGGATCGACTAAGTTACTAAGAGTAGCTTAACAGTTATTACTTTCATAGTCAAGTGCTTAGTTTTATGTCATGGAGTATAGTACAGAAGTTTAGTAAAAGTTAAATGTCATTTCTATTTCTCAATGCGAGTTTATAATTATAAACAAGTTGATAGTTAAAGAAATGTTTAATACCAGAAAAGGTTGAGTTGTAGCTTAAAGAAAAAGTAAGTTAATTATTTTGAATATAGCTATCATTTTTACTAAATAATGATTTTTTGAATTATAAAGGAAAAGGGTTTTAAAAAGTTAAATATCTACTACTTAGATTAACAATAAAAATATTACGTCCTGATTGCCAGCGTTGTCCCCGTATTGCAAGATGTATCTATAATCGTATTTTCCGAGAGCAACTTCATTACAAAGATTTTTGAAGGCACTTTCCACAAGTGTAAGTGAGTTTTTTAGTAATTCTTTACTTGGTTGGCCCACAGCGTAATCTATTTTTCTATTACCTTGTTAAATACTAAAACCTTAAAATGATTTATACAAACTTGCTAGATTCTGCTCTCCTCCACGCAGATGTATAGGGCATTAAAAAAAAAACTTAAATTCGACAGCCTGAAAGGTCAGCGGCACACTGGAAGCCTAAAACATTTGGTTATTATGGTAATAGTAAAGAAGGTTCCGTTTTAAAATGCGTTAATCAATAAATACCATATATGCATCTAATAAATATTTATAATATTTACTCCCTGCCAAAATGTTTATAATTGCGTTTCTTAAAAATATTAGTTTATGAGATTTTTAATTGGTTTATCTTTTTTTTAATTATTTCTAGGTGGTTACTTTTGTCGAAGTGTATGTTGTCTATGTACATGTTAGTGTTGTTTAATTTTTAATGGAGCCGTGTAATGAGTAACAGATAGGGATACGTAGATTTATTGTGACATTAAAATTGTTTTCTTTTTTTTTAACTTATCAAAGTAAAGTCAAAGTCACAAAAATAGTCCCATTATCTTCTTTATAATAGTTTTGAACTAGAACTTTTGCTTTATTCTCGATCAGTTTAAAACCAAGGTAAAGTAGATAACTGTTTTCCGTTAACTTATTTTCGGTAGTAGATAATTGCATATACAAAAAGGTTAATTCTGTGTACGTAGGCTGCGTACAATGAATACTATTTCGAATCGTAAAAAAAATCAGATTTTACCGTTTTTAAGGGAGATCAATTGGTCTTCTTAACTCTTTTAATCGTGACCTAAGTGCACAGTTAACATAAGAACCATTTAATGGTCGTACATTGAACTATTTACAACTTTAGATTAAACCCGTAGCGACTAGCATCTAGGGCCGGGCAAAACCTTGACAACTGTTAGACCTGTTACCCTTCACCTAGGGAGTTTATCGTGAAATATCTATGTAAACCACCTTCAAATACACTAAAAAAAAGTAAACCACATAAAAACTATAAGTAAAAGATAAAACAATTAAGAAACGTCCCTAAGCTAATATTTTCAATAAAAACGCGATATTTAACATTTTGGCAGGGGGTTACGCGGCAATTATGACCCGGACAAACATACTAAACGGCCCCGTATCAAAAATGTTTATTCTAATGTAATCTAAACAAATATGCCTAAGTGAAGATGCTTAACCTCTTGTAAAGGTAATAAACGGCTTGGTAGCCTAAAATGAAGTAAATTAGCTATTAACTATGTGCAGGCTTTCCTTTATACCCTTGAAAAATGGTTTGCAAAGAGGAAAATTACGATAAACACCAAATGCCATGTGTTGATCATCTCATGAAAAAGAAAAATTGAGAACATCAAAGCCCTAACTATCGCAAGCTCTCTTCCTTGGTGCATTTGAGTAAACACTTAAGCGTTATTATTGAATCTAGACTTAGCTAGAAGCCTCATTGATTATCGTGTTAAAAAAATTAATAACTTTTGCTTTATATCACCTCATGCAAAAGTCCTTTGAATCAGTAAAATAAACTCCAAATATATAAAGCTATTATTAGATTTATCATGAGTTACGCAATTGTTTCAGGCCTTACTGCTGGAATTTGCTTATAAACAGACTTCAAATTTCAAAACAACTCCCCAAAACAATCTCCTTAGAATGTATACAGGAGCACCTAGGTTTGTGCGAAACCCCAATTACAACACAAAAGTGAAATAGAACCTCTTTTGCTTTACCTTAAATGGACGACTTTAAAGTGTTTTATACAATATGAAGAACATCCCAACAATTTAAAAACTAACGCCTTGAACCTATACTCTGGTATATTTTACAATACATAAACGACCTAAACATTTTTTAAATCTAGCTTAGAAAAAAACCGAGTGTTGAAATATTCTTAATTTTGGGAGATGGGGAGAAATGTGTTAAACGCTTAAATCGCAAAGAAGTCGCTATCTTTATGTTATGGGAGGTAAACCCGAGAGGCTTTAATTTGCAAAGGAGGTTACCTTCCTCAACCCTCTCCGAAATGAGGGTATTTAGATTAATCAGTTTAAGTTATAACAGCATGACGACTATAGTATGTGAAAAAACGATAAATAAATAAATAAATTACAAAATAAGTGGGGAGTGCACTGGCAAAAAGCTCTTCAGTTCCTCCGCCCTGAAAAGTTAAATTTCCAGGAACCTGGTTAGTACTACTATGGGTGACCAAAGGCTAGCCAAGTACTCCCCCTAGAAAACCAGAAGATTCATGATACTTTTTCTAGAGATGTTAAATGGGGCAACAGCAAAAGTCAATAATTAAAAAGATATAATAATAAAAAGTAACTTTCATACTCTTTTTTTCCTTTTTCGTTGTTGGGGTTATCATGTTATAGCCACGAAAGACTCCACCCTGCTACCTTTAACATGGCTATACAAAGTGCTTTCTTAAACAACAAAAATTTATAAACAGAAATATTAATTTTAAATACACTGAACGAGATTATCTTAGGAATACTTATTAATAAACAGAAGTCAACTCTTCAAAATCAATTGCCCCCTACTATGTACATAATCAACTTAAAACGGTAAGCAACAGAACGCACAGGACAACCTAAAATGATATCAGCTATAACCATAACAATTGACACAGACCTCACCTATATACTAGAATAAAAGCAAGCACGAAAAGGGGCTGTATTAGGATGAATGCTTCCACGTATATACACGTGGAAAGGAGCTGTACAGTAAAAAAGAACGCCCAGAGCTCTCGACTTGCAATTTCCATGAAAATCCTTATAAATGAAAACGGCAGGGAATTAATTTAATTGGTATTTGACGCAGCTGCTCATCCCCACCACCTAAACAACAAAATATTACTACACAAACTTTCGCTCTAAGAAACCAAATTAGCACGAAAACAATATTTTGCTCTAAATTTGCACACAACACGCTCTCCATAGGAAAAATTAATAAAAACTGTTACACAGTGATTCCCACAAGATTCGGTCAGTTTTATTAAAGATGCATTCCCATTTGGAAAACTAACAAAGAAAATCTCAAAAGATTACACAAAACTCGTAATCTTATTACACTTGCCGCTGAACTTCCGTCATGGTCTAGTATCAGGATTGGCTGCTATTTTCTTTATCTTTAGTTAAAAAATAAAAATTCTAATAAATTGACAAGCCCACCAGAAGGCCGGTTACGTGTCATCCTTATAAGAACTTTTTAAGTAGAAAAAGATTAGGGCGGATAAAAGAAAAGACAATGTATTTTATTATGTATAGTAACCACTATTTTTAACCTTAGAACGACTCTCTGGTATTTTACCAGGGTTTTAAATTAGTGTATTCGTCTCAGGTATTTATGGATATTCGGCTATTTAAAAATCATATTGTACAATTTAATACTTTCGAAGTTAGTATATATTTGCTTGTTCAACGCATCTTCGGGTATGTGCTTAGATTGGTGTAGGTGCTATAGTTATCAAATTACACGTACTAGGGACAAGAATCAACATTCAAACTCTGCTTGCACACCCTGGAGTAAAGTAGGAGACCAACGTCGATTTCTGGTCAAATTATTAATTTTTTTAAGTCAGTCAGCAATAAAGACCTCTCAACAGTTGTAAATAATTAGCAACAAGAGTTTAGGGAGTACCTTTTAAACAAGGACAAAGACTGTGGAAGGTGATATGTAAGTATTTGCAAGAGAAAGTGTGCTTGGCAGATTTTTTTAAATATATACGCTTTCTTATTGCAAGAGAGGGCTTACAAGTTTTTGTAATATAAGCTGAGAAGTAGAAGAGTATTGAAAATAAATCTGGACGTCTCTGAAACTGAAGGACGATCGAAAGTGCGCTTTTTAAGAATAGCATGGTATATTTGGGTCCAAAGAGAGCGTTGCTCAAAACGAAATGAGTAGAACTACAACTCGCTTTCTCCGCTTTTATTGTATTAAAAGAGGGTACTATTTTAGCACCAACCCCGGAAAAATCCTTTGAAGTTAAAGAAAATTTAGACGTAAAAACATAAAGAGTTTATTTTAGTAAAAAAAGCTGACTAAATGACAACCTAGAAGTGCTAACTAGCTATCTTGTTCTATTATAATAAAATGAAAAAAAAAAAATAAACTTATAAAAGTGATTTTCGATATAAATGCCAAACCTGTCCCTTTGAATTCTACAAAGCAACTTACAACGCTGGCTTTACTCAGGAAGGTCTTACATTTTTTAAAAGAATCTTTTTGTGAGGAGTGGCCTATCTGGGCGTAATCGGCTACCGTTCTTGTTAAAATACTAGCGTATTGCCCGTTCTAATATCCTTGGACTTTCGTCCTTAGACTACGTAGAATTCAGCGCCTACGTGTCTATGGCTAATTGTTATAATACAATTTTTTCCGTGTAAGCAGGTGAGATTGCTCAGTTGGTTATTGAGTATTTCTCGGTCTCCTAGTGAGGCATTGACAATCGGTATACATTTTGCTGCACCAAAACAACAATGAGGATTGAAAGGCAAATAATAGTGGGAAGTTAAAAAGGCTCTCCACGTGTTTCATTCATTGCCAAAAAGATACCTATTTATTGCTTTTAGGCAAATTTTATTAAATCGGTTTTATTTTGTAGAAAAGTGAGGTGGTAGCTACTCTCGCTGAAAAAACACATTTCTTATAAGTAGCGGGATTTAGAACAGTGACCCACTAGAGTAGTAAACGTTAATATTTAGATTTTTTTAGCATGGCCTCGTCAACAGGAGCCAAGTTATCCAGGGAAGAATATAAGAGGAGACAGGTTTGTTTATATTATTCTTTTTATACTAGGGAAGGTTTTTTTTGTTTTATAACTCGTAATTTTTTTTTGACAATATTAATCGATATGTATTTAATCTACTTAACTCGGTAGTTAAATTTTTTATTTTCTAAAAGAAGTTGTAAAAACTTAAACTTTTACTTGAATTCAGGTGTTAACACAAGTTTATTTATGCAAATTCATTGTTGTTAGTTTCAGATTGAATAGATTACTATTAACATTGTTTTACGAAAGGAACTTGAAAATGCTAGGAAAGCTGGTACTGCGGCTCCTGCCCTAGATATTGAGGGTAACATGATCAATCCACATATACCACAGGTACTACAAGCTAAACTTATTTTTTGGTTTTAGTAACGTGTATATTGACTTTAATTTTTATTATTATTATGTCTGTAGTACATTGCTCAGGCGCCCTGGTACCTTAATCAGGGCCACCCAGGCTTGCAGCACCAAAAATTTAAAAAGGAGAAACCTTCTTTGGATTTGAACGTATGGTATGTTTTCAAACAGATCTTTTTACTGTCTCTATCAAATAATTTCTTTAAGGTACGAACGAGGCGTAAAAACAGGGCCGCCTCCCGTCAGATTTCGGAAAGGTGCTTGTGAGAACTGTGGGGCTATGACTCATAATAAAAAAGTTATTTTGTTCATCGATTTTAAAGAGACTGTGTTGGCTTTTAACTTTTTAAGTTTAAAAGGAATGCACCGAGCGCCCCCGCAAGTTGGGAGCAAAATGGACCAATGAGGATTTGCAAGAAGACGAAGTCGTTATAGATTTAAAAAACTTAAACTACGCAGCGAAGAGGGATGCTTGGAATGGATATGATGCGTCAGGTTTTTTGTAAAAACCTCAACCGTTTTTTTATTAATTTTTTTCAAGATTACCAAAAGGTTTTAAAGGAGTTTGAAAAATTGGAAGAATTACGTTTGAAAATGAAAGAGGAAAAAGTTAAAAGTGAAATGACTAATGAACGGGAAGATGAACTAAAAGGTTGTTTTAGTAGTACCTATTTCCGCGCTATATTACTAGTACATTCAGGTTATGCGGAGAGTGCACCCATGCCAGGACAGCAGTTTGACGCTAAAAAACGTATTACCGTTCGAAATTTACGGTAGCCTTTCTCATTATTTATATACTACTTTTTGGCACTACTGTTATTAAAGTATCCGCGAACACACAGCCAAGTTTTTACTAAATCATGACGTAAACTCTGCTTATTATGATCCGAAGACCCGCTCTATGCGCGGGTAAGTGGTCGTTTTAGCCGCTTTCTCGTTTCTTTGAATTTCATTTTCATTTTAGGAACCCGTTTGCTGGTAAGGAAGGAGGCGACCCTAATTATGTTACCGAAAACTTTATGAGGACGACTGGTGCGCCTCCTTTTTTGCTCGACTCGCTGGTCTATTCACTGTATTTTTGCACCAGGTGAATCCCTTGAAGTCTTGCAGACTCAAGTTTATGCTTGGAATGCTAAGGAATCTGAGCATTTGTCTCTCCAAGTTGGGCTTACCACTTGTTTGCTTTCAACTTTTAGATTTTCCGTTTTTATAATTAGGCGAACCCAACTAAAACGGAAATTATGCGTAAAGCATATTTAAAAGAAGCAGAAATACAGTCTTCCGCGACTAAAGAAGACATTCTTGCGCGATACGGTTTGAGCTCCTTCTTTCTAGTGTTTCACGTGCACAATACTACAGCTGCTATAGGTGGGCAGGAGCATCTGGAGACGCCCCCAATGGAGTTACTGCTGGGCCAAACGGAGCAGTACGTTGAATACGACCGCTCTGGTCGAGTCATAAAAGGTGTTGAGAAGGTTGTTCCGAAATCGCACTACCCTGAAGACAGTACGGCGGACCCTCCTCCATCTCTGGCACTTGACTTACCTTGTTTCCCTGCCTTCTAGTTCATCATAAAAATCACCGGGAAATATGGGGATCATATTGGGAGGAAGGGTGCTGGGGATACGCGTGCTGCCATTCGACGGTGTACAACTCGTACTGCCTCGGACAGGTCCCTTACGCTTTGCAGGACTTCTCATGGGGGCCCCGCAAATATTGTAATAAGACAGATTGGCATTCGGTCCAAGTCGAATGAAGTTAATTTTAAAAAAAGCGAGCTGGAGGCCAAAAATGCTCAGGCTAAAAAGTCTCTTTTAGAGGTAAGCAAATTATCTAGTCTACACTCTTAACGAAATAACAATATATTATTGTAGGAACACCGTGAAAAAATGGAATTTACTAAAAGCAAAAAAGGTTCGGAACTGACTACATTAAGGCAGCTTTTGGCCTGAAAATCTATTTTTCGTAGCTAATAAACGTGAAAAAACTTTCAACGAAGATTTTAGCAGGGAAGTCAAGAATGTTTTAAAAAAATCGAGGAAGGTTTGCAATTTGATGTGCAGCAAGTTAGACTTATCTCTTTAGTTACGTTTTTTAAGGAAAATGCGAAAGAAGAAGTGGACCGTGGGGAATTTTCTTCGTGGACTCACTTATCTGGTAACTATTAACCCCCCTGTTCTGTGGGTTTCCGCCGCCCATTTTTTCATAGAACCCACAGAAGCCGAAAAGGAGGCGTATTTACTTTCAAAGAAGAGATCTGAAGATCCATTGGCGAATTACGTTGAACGTTAACTTAAAACTGCAGCCTCTATTATTATAGGCCTTTTATCGTGTTAATAGGCTACTTTAATATAGTCAACCGGCTTAAACACATGATTGCACGAGCCGTTGTGCTATCCATCTTCCATTATTGCTTAGTATCACTAATAAATACACCGGCGCGTTCAACTATTAAAGCAATGGACAATCGCTTCATACGTTATAAAGACGACAGCGGAATTCGGTAAGACCCGCGCTAAGTGGGCTGCATAACCTAACAAAATACAGTAAGGTAGCACAAAGCAAGAAGATAAAACATCTTGACCACCTCGATACAGGCCAGTTACCCCCTCGTACTTAAGTATGCTGAAGTAGGAAGGCCAGAAAGACTGATAGCTAATAAGACTATGCGAACTACAAGGTGTTTCTCGCATTCGGGTCCTGATAACCTGTAAGTGGGGAGCAGTTAAAATTTTAAATTCCTCCCCTTTCGACAAGAGATAGGTCGTAATAATACTAAACCGTACATTTTGCACAGTGAAGGAGGAAAACACATAAAAACGTGCCCAATAAAGAGAACTTACTTCGTGCGGGTAGGCGATGGAGCAAGCTACTACTTTGGCTAAAGTCGCCGAGAGGAAACTCTCCGCTGGCAAAAGATTAGGCGTCATATGACTTTTTAAGATCAAAAAAGTTTCTTAAAGTACCTAGAAAGCTCATGGCGCCAAGGGTATATGTACATGTTCCTTTAAGTTCCTGCTTTAGTTTTTCATAAATTATAAAATGTGTGGCTGTCTCGGAGGCACCGTAATAAGATGCCGAGAGACCACTGAAGAAGCCTTCACAGGGATCAACAAATAGTGTTAGAAAAACTATAATGGCGAACCCTTTAAGCCACGCTCTTTGTAAATGTTTCTAGACACTGAGGGCCACGTCATTGTATGACTCCCTTTAATAAATTTTAATCTTAATCGATAAAAGGGAAACCACGAGTTACCCACGACGGAGTCGTTCAGCTGAATTTTAGTTTTAATTACCCACAACGGATTAGTAATTGTTGCTGTTGCTGAGGCTATATAAAAAAAATGTAAATTTAACAGTAAACTGTAACTTTTAAAAAATATTGAACTACTTTCCCGAAAAAAAAGCGGAGGTAACGTGAATTAAAGAAGACTCCTTCCCAAAGTTGTATTGCTTTAAGTACTCTTTCCCCTCGTGATATACAAAAAAATAGATAGCTCTAAAAAACAAGGAGTTACTACCAATTTTCGAAAATAGTAAACTTTAGGCGTACTAGCAAGAAAGAACGATCAAAGAAAAGCAAATGTTACTTAGAAGGTATCACTCCCACAAGTGTTGTCATAGTCCCTTTCCATAAGGCAGTCACCCCTTCTTTCTCATAAATTGACCTGGACAATAAAAAATAAATCTTACTGTAAAAAATATTTAAGTGGGTTACAATTGTTTTTACTTCAATATAGAAAATAGGTCTCTGTGTCGCATAGAGGGGCCCAAACGATTGGATTGCAGTCTGACCTTCACTACCTCGATGGGGGACGTGCAAATAGCTCCGAGCATACCTCCAGTGCTTTTAATTATATAAAATAGCGTAATAACATCACATAAAAAATTAATAAAATTTCAAGCTTTACTAACCCTCCTGCGAGAAGATGTAAAAAAGCAGGCAATTTTCTATGTTCAACTGTTTCAAACGGGGTTGTGTCTAATATTCGCGAACCAGTGACTTTAAAGGTTTCCATTAAATAATCTACACTCTTTTAGCCTTGATAAAAAACCTATAAATCTCTAAAAAAAAATATGCTTTTCCTATAAAACTAACACTATTATTGTAAAAAAAGACCAACTAAAGTACATTAGACAACTCAAAATTGTAACTTTGCCAAGGTAAAAAGATACCACCGAATAGGTTGATACAAAGAACTCTTAAATAATTACCGCAACATCTACACGGAAGGAGAGCCTCCCCTGCTTATATATTTAAACGCAAAAACTTTATTTTAGGTGCTTACTGCACGTAACGTGCACGCTGTTTGGAGCACGTGATGGCATTGTCCGTGTGCCTTGTATTATTAATGCCTCTGATACCGGGTTACAGGTGACAACTTTAATTCCTGGCTATCGAGTTACTTACATATTTGCTAGTATAAAAAGTAAAGGCATATTTTTACCCGCTTTTTCCTTCTTTATTTTTGTAATGACCTTAGTTAAGTATTTACAGATCAATGCGGCTACTGGAACTTAAGTAGTTTCCGCCAATAAAATCAAGATAAGAACTGTTACGCTTCCTTAAACCATCACCGGTCTGTACCGCCCATTGCCATCCAAAACACAACTAAGCCTTTTGCGATCGAGTTGGTGAGCAGAAGCCATTAGAAAAAGATAAAAAGCGAGTGGCCAACCATTTTGGTCTTATTCTCTTGCCACTGTCAAAGTTAACCTCTTATCTAGAGTAGTAAGGAGCCGTTTCACGAGTTAGGGTTAAAAATAAACTGTTTAAGAATTTCATTTTGACAGAAATAAGAGATTAAAAAACTTGGCCATAACTAATCCGTAACGTTAAATAGCTTTCCTATTTTTATGATCCTTTTTAGAACGTAAACCAGAGCACGTGCCTATCTATTCATTTCTATCTGGCTTCTGCGAGTATGCGCACCCTTTTACCTTTAAGGGGAATTGTAGGTGGGTGTTATTTTTAAGTTGAAGTTGGCTTCAATAGTTTTTATTACTTTTTTTTATAACTAAAATATTTATACAATGTATTTATGTATATATCTTTTATGTCTCTCTCGCTTAATATAATTTAACTATGGCCTCCAAACTAGGACATAAAGGTTAGGTACAAAAAGGTACTCGCTACCTTTTTACGCACTTAAGAACGCTAAATAATTTGTACGTTGCCCTTGAAAGTCAGAAGGGTCCTGAGTTTGTTTTTTATGCTCTTTATGGTTGGGTATTATCCATCATTCGTTGTTCATTTCTTATCTGTTCTATCCTTTTCTAGTTTATTTTAAAATATTACACGCCTGGGCTACGCAAGATAATTAGAGGCTTTTATGGGGCTCCTGTAGATTCATCAATTTGACCTTTACTTCTGATGAAAAGAAGGTACCATAATTTTTTTTAGGCAACTGTGACAAAGCTGTCTTGTGGCTACCACAAACCCTTTTACTTGTTTTAAAATATTAGGAAGTCCTCTTTTATTTGGCTAGTATTGGCAACAGAAAAAATACTTACCCCATATCTGTCGGATTTATGTATATATAATTCGAAACCCATAGCTTCATGTGTTCTCCTATAAAGTAATGAAGTTTACCATTCTAATCAAAATTTAGAAACCTTTAGGGTAGCCGCTAGTTTATCTTCACCTTTTCTTTGCCCTTGTATCGATATTGTCAAATGTGATGGTTTTCAAAGAAAATCTAAACCTCCTTTTTGTCGCGATTGCTAAAAAAGATTTAATACCCATGCCAATTGACCCATAAGTTTGATATTCTTTTTTATTAAACCCTTTTCTGTTCCTGCGTAGAACGAAGGCCTAAAAAGCTTTTATTTTTTTGTTAGAAGTAGGTCGGGCATTGCCTTTGCCATTATAACTATAAAAATCTTCTCTATGCACAAATTTGTATATAGTATAATTAAATCTCTAATAATCTTTAACAAAAGATTCTAAAAGTCTGGGAGCACACCCGTTTTTGTCTTCTCGGATTGTACTAGGGAAGAAGTCGAAAAGGTATTTTATACCGCATTCTAATATTACGCGAAGTGACAAATTTGCGCCATTGCGTCAAGTCCTTGTTGAAATAAAGACTTTGATCCGATTCCTCCTGTTGATCTGGAACATTATCATCACTTAAGTCACGGAAGTAGTAAGTACCAGGGCCAGAGGTTAGATAATACATCTAGTCTGTTAACACTAAGCAGTATACATCCTTGCTAATAGCATTTTGTATGACCGCCCTAGGTTGAAACAAGAAGGGTAATACTACCTGTACAGATTAGGGGTACTATAGAGATTTGAATTAAAACAATGAGAAAGACACTATTTAGAAAAGAGTTTTCAAGAGCGACTGGTTCAAGCTAATACCTGTTAACCTTGAAGGAGATGGGCTTAGTCGAGATAAAAAATACTTTATCAGTGTCGGTTAAATGGTTACTTAATCAAACTTCCCCGCAATTAAAACCGTCTTTCACGTTAGAATCTTACTCTTGAAAATTCTCGATCTTATCGTTACTTGGTATGTTCTCAGAAAGTTTTATCAAACGTATGATATCTCGTTCATAGAATTTATTATTCTAATAACCATTTTTTTCAAAATAAAGCAAATTATTTGAAAAATTATGTACTTAGAATCAGATTATGAACACCTGTGAACTACTAGACTTTATATTGCTATTTGCACATATGTTTTCATTACAACGCCTCCACGTAGTTATTACAGAACATGTTGTATCTCGTTGAGAGATCGCCAAAGCTTGCTGGTTTCACAATAACGCTTGTGAGTTACTTAAATAAAACTTTTGCACGGGAAGGCAGTAGGGACATACTACGAAAACTTTAAAATCGGTTAAGACTTTTTTTTTGAAAATTCCTTTAAAGCATTGCCCTTTGGGTCTCAAAAGGTATATGAGTCATGAGCGGTTTAGCATTAATTTCATAGGTCATAATTTTATTTTTTTTACTTAAACTGATAGCCTCAATCCTGTAATAAAGGTATCACGTCTTAACACAGCGAGGAGTGGATAGCTTATATAATATAATAATATAATATATTTAAAAAGGTTTTAATACGATTATTATGTTGCTCATCCCTCTATATTTATTTCAATAAATTTTGGATACGGAATAAGCACTCCCTTAATTATGTTTACTTTCAGTCACTTACCAACTTTTTTGTTAGGCAGCAGAACTAATTAAAGTTAAACATCTGGAACCCTTTAATATAAAGGAAAAGCTAAAAAGCTTTAGTAAAACATTCTATAATAGATAGTAGAGATCTACAAGCTATTTAAAATAAAAGATAACATGGCTCACACTGGCAGTTAACAATTTTGTTAAACCCTTACTGGGCGGATATAAAATTTTGCGCCAACGAAGCTTTAAAAGCCTTGATCGACCACGCGCTCTGCTCACTTTCTTTTGGTGGTGAAGGGTAGATGTTTCGTAGAGCTTCTATTTGTGCTGCCGAACAAATAGGAACTTATAAGGAGGTATTTAGTGGAGATTTTCTTAGTATTAGTAAACAAAGATCGCATAATTTTTTGAGTAAGAAAAAGGACCCGCTGTGTATAAACGTTAAAGTAAAATGTCTTGTTTTAGTTATTCTGTATTGCTTACAAGGAGTTCCTGTTGGATTGTCGTTCGGGAGGTAAATTGAAGTTTTATTTAATATAAACATGTATATTCCTTACGGCTACTATTTAGTTAGTTAATTTTAATAACACAATAGTGTTCCTTTTTTACTAAAAAGAAAATTAAGCTACACTGACCTTGGTTATTTTTCAATTTCTTCTTATCCCTACAGCCTAAAATTATTTTGGTAAGCTATTGTATTATATCCTTGAAGCTAAGGGAGATAGGTTTATATAAATTGTATTGTGTTTTTTAAGGTCTCCTATTGTTGACTCTTGGTATTCAAAAAGATTTGGAAGAAGAAAAACTTGGATTGTATTTTAAAGAGTTAGAGATTTTTTTCTTGCTTAGCTGGTTTCTTTTTAGGTCCCTTCGCAAGTACTTTCCGGTCTATTATTCTATTTTATTGGCACTCAGATAAACCAATTATTAAAAGTTGAGTATATTGATGTAAAGCAACTTACCTTTTATTTTTTCTTGTAGGTGAAATTCCTTTTTTGTTCTTTACTTCATAATTTATATTGTTAAGGTATCAGCAGACCCATTTCGGATAGTTATTATTACCTTTTATGTATTCTTTGAGATTGATTTTTTGTGCGGCCACTCAAGATATTGCCGTAGACGGCTGGGCTCTTGAACTACTTCCAGCCGATCGTTGCGAACTTGCCTCGACTTGCCAGACAATCGGTATATCTACTACATATGCTCACCTTCTTTTGCTTGTATAATATTTATTTTGCCATATATTTAAGGCATCAATGTAGGATATTTTCTCTCCTTCACCGTCTTTCTTGCTCTCAATTCCTCTGAGTTCTGCTCTCGTTATCTACCGTCTGTAGTTCAGTACTTCTGGGGCAGCGTAATTTATATTAACAGCGGCGACTCAACATTATTTCTTATTGCAGTAGACTAACTGATGGTGTAACAATGAGCCTTTAAGTAGTAGTTCTCTAGTATTTTTACGCGTCTTTAGTTAGCTTTTTAGGAAGACTTGTTATAGGAGTCGCGCACAATTTCTACAGCTTTTTTCTTTATTTTTAATTTGTACTAATCTCTGCTAATTATCAACTTTGTTAAAAACTACCCGTACACCGACTATTTTATTTAAACTTACTACTTGTTCAGACAGCAACTAAAGAACTACTAACACTTGGCGGCTATATGAAGTTCTGGGGAGTAACTTACCTTTTATTTAGTCTGTGGCTTGTAATATTTGTGCGAGAGGACAGTTATACACGTATTAGTTTATTCTCCTTTACGTGAGCAACTAAAATGATTTCTTGTTCTAGTTTCAGTAAATGAAACTTCTATGAACGAATACCAGAAAAATGAAGCTACCGAAAGTTAAACTTTATTTTTTTGCTATTCCCCGCCTAAAACATCCACGTTGGTTGTTGTATCATAAGACTTATCCATTTGGGATACCTACAAAACTCTATTTGATGTTATTAAAATGAAGCATATGTTAGCTCTGCTGGTTGTTCTGTTAGTTCAAAAAATCGGCTTTATGGCAAACGATGCTGTAACACCTCTTTTGCTTATCGAAAAAGTTGTCTAATTAATATATAAAGCTGTAAGCCTTCTTAATTCTTTATAAAGGGCTTTAAACGAGAAGATATGGCGCTGACCGTCTTACTCGACTTTCCATGCCAGCTCGTTTTAGGATATTTGGTGGCCAAATGGTCTACAGGTCAGCCCAACCTTCTGTTAATTATAAAACCGGGCTGAATTGTTCAACAGGCACCCGGCCTACGCGGCCTTGGATGTACGCCCTTGTTCTCCGACTGATAATGTAGTTGATGCAGTTCATATTATTGTTCAACTGCACTATCCCACCCCCTTTTTCCAACTTTTAGGGGGGGTGTTTGCATGTATGTGGTTTACATATTCCCGCCTGACGGTCGAGTTACGCCGGCTTACTTCCTTCTTGTGACTGCTGCAACATTACTAACGTCGTTTGGCACCACGGCCATGTTTGTCTCCCAGGGAGCTTTTTTTGCGGTGTTTAATTTCTTCGTTAATTTGTAAGTACATTTATTTATTTTTGCTTTCCAGAGAATAAGTGACTCTAAAGTTGGCGGTTCCTACCAAACCCTGCTGGCCACCTGCTCTAATTTTGGTGGCACATGGCCCAAGTATTTCGTGCTAAAACTTGTTGACCACTTCACTATTGCGAAGTGCTCCACTACAGTAAGTTGCCTTCTTCATATCTCACTGTAATTACTAAACCTCACACGGCCCATGTTAGGGACAGGATTGTGTAACTGAACTCGGAAAGGCTGCCTGTCGGAACAGTTTTGCTTCCGACCAGACGCCGGGAGTATGCCTTATAATACAGGAAGGTCTGTGTACCTATTTTACTATGGTTCTGTGGTTTTATACTTTTATTTTTTAAGGGTTTTACTATGTTTCTCTGATATGTATTATATGCGGATCTCTATTGTACCTACTTTTCGTCCGACCCACCGCTAAGTACTTGGAAAGATTGGATGTTAGTGTTTGGAAAATATCTAATTAAAAGTCTGCTTTCCCTTCCTTTAGATAAGATGGGAGCTCCCTTTAGAATCACTTACGTCAACAACTATGCTATTTGTATTGCTAATGAAAGCTTATTTCTTAGTAGCCATGCCTTTGTTTTCCTCTGCTCTTTACTGGACAAAACAAAAACTTCCCTCCCCCCCCTTTACAGCAGTATTTCTTTAAGCCTTTCAAAGTTTAAAAACATCCACAATTCCGTATAACACATCTAATTTTCTATTTACTACAGAGCGTTTTTAAGTATATTATTTATTAGGTACGGAGCATTTTTTTTTAACTTTGGCTCAATATATTTATAAGTTTAAAGCTTTATATGCATCCTGCTTAACGATTAAAGCTGTCGAAAAAGTCCTTTTAAAAATATTTATTTATATCAAATAAGTTGCAGTAGTTGCCTCCGAAAGAACTTAGCGCTGCTTTAGCATATATGCAATATCTATATCTTTTTGGTGACAGTAGATTCCTTGTTGATAACTGGCTTTAAAAACCGGCACCTACACTAGAGCTGTGTTAGAAGAAAGGACTAACGGCGGATAGCACACACTTCATTATCCTTAAAAAATTTACCATGTTTGGACACTGTTTCGTTTTCTATTACTCTGACACGTCTTTGTATAAAATTAATACTTTCTAAAGTGAGGACATATCAATTCGCAGCTCTTATCTAAGCAAAAATGAGCTAAGAGTTTAACCTTTATCCTCGCAGTCATGTGCGCTATTTGAGAGGTTCTAAGCGCGTGATTATAACGTCAGTAAGGTTTTGTGTTAAGCGAAGTGTACTACCGTATTAGAGTTTTTGCAGAACTTGTACGCTATCCAAAGGGCAACTTTTTTTTACCGTCCTAGTAAAGCGTCCTTTATTTAAATAATGGTTATTACCAATACCTTACTTTATGCATAACTTCAAACTAAATTTTGACAAAAATAACTATTTATATACCTGAGGACAATCATAAAATCAATAAACTGAGAAAGTTTATAAAACAACCTGTGTGTATATGCAAAGCCACATTTTCTAACTTTTCCTTAGAGTTTCGTTTAAAACTTCTCACACTCCATTCTACATAAAATCGAGTCTATGACAGAATGTAATATTGTTAAAATTAAAAACAGTTTTCATAAGAAACTTGATAAGAACAAAAACTTCCGTTAACAAACGACCCGAAACCCTCGTGCCGATATGCTTTTGTTGACATGCATAATTTGTAAGGTTACTAAGATCAGTGGTCAGCAATTCTAACGGTGTGATGGCACAGCAAGATCTTTTTATTAAAAATATAACTTATTCCCAACTTCTGACGATAAAACACTCCTTAAAGGAGGAGGCGGCCTACTGTAGGCAATCATTGAACCAGCTAGAAATTGCCTTATCGAGGTATCGTTTCTTTATCTACTAATATCTGGCGTAACCTATAAAAAATTATTATTTTTTTTAAAATATATTTAAAAGATTGATATAAACACTTAGGGTTTACTGTATACGTTTAATGTCATTTAAGAATTTTGGGAAAGGGGGTGTTAGTTTTTATTATTTTATGTACTTTAAAAAGGTAGAGAGAATAGCAAGTAAATTACTTAAAACCAAGGTTTAATTTTAATAAATATTTGCGGATTTACAATAGATTTAAAAAAAGTTTTGACGACACTCTGGAAGTTTTTAACTTAGAAAAAGAAACTGAACAGTCTTTTATACCTCTAAGTTCTTCTTTGTATGTTAAAGGTTGAAAACTTCAATTTTAAAGTTTTAGTATTAGTTATAACTTCAACTTTGGTTTTTGTGCTTACCTTCTCTTTTAAACTAGGCACATTAAGAAATACTAGTAAAGTTCTCGTGGACATTGGTACTGGTATTAATAGCTCTTAAATTTTTTTTTAGTTTATATCAACTTACCTATTGTAGTTCTCTCATTTTCTTTATTAATATTAAGCTATCCTAGTAATATTAAGATTTTCTATTATCATATATTATTATTAAATCTATATTTTGCGGAATTATGAGTATTAAATTTTTACTGTTATTATTTAAAAAAATTGAATTTCTACCTAAATTTATATTTATTGAGCAGTCTGTAAACTTTTAAGGGTTAAAAGCGTTTAATAATAATCAAGAAACAGTTTGTTTATAAGGGAAAAAAATCGTCAAGTCAAATAAGTGATTCCTTATTACACCCTCTCTCCTTGTATCCTTTCATTAGTTTATGCGAACTATTTCTAAGTTACTACAATGTTTTATCTCTTTGATTATATTTATATAAAGTTATACAGGCTCTATACGTTCCTTGTTTAGTATAGTAGTATGTGTTGCTACCACTATGCTGAGCATTATTTATCGAGGTTATTACGTGGAAAAAAATCTTGAGCAAGCAAAGTTATATTTTACACGACGGATGAATTTTTTGCGCACGAATATACGTAATTCTTTTTGGAATTTTTTTAGTTTTAAAATGTTTTTTATGATCGTTTCCATCATTGTGTTCAAGAAGGTTTATTTTTTTTTATTGGTCAAAATTATTTAGAAAGAGCTGTTATTCAAAAGTAGATACGAATATTAACTATTACTCTTTACTTCTCATAGAAAAGTTGTGGGAAACTTTGAAAGAAAAAGAAAACCAATATAATATTGTTGCAGATCTGGCCGAAGCTAAATTATTGCAAAGTAGCTCACCTGGAGAAAACCAACTTGTTTGATTACTTATGCTTTAACGAGTTCATAATTATTTTTTAAAGCTTTATTTCAATTATTTTGAGTTATTTATAATTTTTGAAAGTTCACAAAAAGCGACTCTTTTTATTACTATCTCTACTGAGCTTTTAGGTATTTAAAGGACAACTGTTTGATAAGGCAAATTGAAATAATTAGTGTTTATGACATTTATGTATATGGGTCTTAGATCTACTGCGACCTTTAACATTCTCACAGTTTGAGGTGCTAGGAAATTTAAGTTACCTTGCCACGCCGCCTTCTCTTTCAAGCTTTAAGGGCGTTGCGCATAGGCGCCTTAAGAAAAAACGACTTAGTATATATGTAAGCAACGAAGAATTAAGGCTAATAAGAGCTATTTAATAGCAAGAACATATATAAGGCACTTAATGAAGCTGTATTCTTTTTTTTCTCTCCCTCTTTTTTGTGCTCTTTATACGGTTTTCGAGGTCTTACTGTGGCGAGTAGAAAACCAGGGATAGTTAATGAAAATATATACATACTGTGAACTAAATTTCTTTCATGTACCAGTCTGCACGTGTTGGATTTCTCTATGTATGATATATCTTTGGTACTTTTTTTATAGATGCGGAAGCCCAAACCTGATCTATTCAGAATATTTTAGGAAATAGTATATAAAAAGCTGGTTGTACAGTCTCATGCATCACAACCCTTTAAAGAAATGCTCTTTTTCGAAGCCGAATCTGCGCTTGCATTCAGTATCTTTTTCTTTATGCGGACATGCTTGGCATCCCCGGCTTAAGCTGAAACCTCGTGATGTTAGCTTTTTCATCAGCATTTGAAGACTAGCTATGGCAACCGTGTAAGGCACTCAGTAATGTACCTATTTGCTGTGAGCATTGTGCGAATACGTTAGAGCCAAGTATATCCATTAACGAAGTAGGGTATTCGTGCAATTACACAATACTTACTAGGTAAAAACACTTGTACAAGTGTGCTTTGCTAGTACCACACCAGAGAGATAGAAACAAAAAAATTTGGTTTAAGTAGTATTAAGTTAATCTAATCCACAATAATTATAATTATATAATCATTCTACTCCAGTTATTTTTTTGGAGAGACGTTTTTAAAATAGTTGCTTATAAATGCATAAATATAAATTTTTTAACTCTGGCATACTACGGTCAGTCCCTCAATCTAAATTTTCCCTTTTCCAAGGGGTTTAGAGCACGAAAGCCCTGCAATGCATTCTATTGAAGGAGACCATGACTGTATTGAAGGACTGAGGGTAGCGGAGGTACGTCTGGCCCTGACTCCCGTCAACCAACCTAGAATGGTAGAAACCGCTAAAAACCACCCCAAGGAGAGGTTAACCTTTTAGTGCAAGAACCGAGGCCACCTAAAAACCAGCCAGCAAAATGCGCCAGCCAAATCTTTTTGACTAAAAGAGCACCCGTCAAAGGAGTAGCCCCTTAATTACAAATAAATTTTTTTTTTACTAATGTTATTTCCTGGTGCTCGATCGGGTCGTAAAAGAAAACACCGAAATTTACGAGCTCCAAAAGGTAATAGCGTACACATTAGCTTTAAACTCGTGTTAAAGCAAATCTCATCAACTCTATGGAGGCTCTCGCCACCTACCCATTGAGCTGGAAGACTGCAACTGTGGTACTGCTACCGAAGACACCAGATCAGCATCTGCGTGAAGGGATACAGGCCTAACGCCTCTTAGCCATTGACAAAGTAGCTGAAGCGGCCATACTGAGCAGCTTGAAAGCTTTTGCCGAAGCAAGCCACGCCCTGCCAGATTTCCAATTTAGATTTCTACAAAGACACAACACGGCTCGACAACCCTTCGCCAGACAGAGTGGACGGTCCTAGCTTTTATTTGAGAATAGCAACAGGCGCCGTCTTCCTTGATGTCAAAAAAGCGTTTGATCGATTGGCGCAAGGGCTTGCTTCACAAATTGCGCCCTTTAGCCCATCCTACTGTTTTTTTTAACGTGATTAAATCTTACCTTAAGGAAGACGTCTTTAATAGGCTTGTGGGCAATGTGGGCTAACTTTTAAGACTCCTAACAGCCGGAGACCCACAGGGATTTCTTTTATCGCCCCTACTCTGCACATTATGTGCGCGACGTGCCAATGCCTGGCAACCCTCACACACGAATTGTCTTATATGCGGAAGATACGGCAATTTACCCTTCGTCAAAGTCAACCTACTTTATCGCACCAGCATCTGCAGTACTACCTAGGGACGCATGCCATCTAATGTCCTCTTGGGCAAATTACTATTAATGCAGCAAAGAGCAAAGCCCTTTCTATAACGAAGAGGCTCAATACATCTTTACCGTCACTAACTTTCGAAGGTAAGGTAATTTTTTGGTGAACCTAGGCTAAGTACGCAAAGATCATTATTGACAATAAGCTCTTGTGGCGGGCGCACGGAAACTATACCGCGGCGAAAGTCAAGGCAGTGATATAGCGAGGGCACCGCGTGCTCTTGCTGGATCAAATCAATCCCTTTTAACTACTACAATCTAAAATTACAAAAATACGTGGTAATTCCTTTCATGAATTTTTCGAAATACAATTGCTATCACATCTACCCCCTCTCTCGCTTATATGTTTTTTTCTCCTTAATTTTCCTTTGTTGCATTATCAGCTCAGTATTATTAACTATTTTTTTAACCTCTGTTTTATTAACTTCCTTTAATATACCTGTTTGTGTACGTAAACATATTTGTTTAACTCCCCATATTAATACCTTCAAACTCATTTTTAATAGTAAATTTTTACACGTAGACATAATTATTATTATTAGTGTTTCCTGAATAGCGCCTACAGACACAGACATCCACAACGACAATTTCTCTACCTATAAGGCCGTAACATCTTTAAAACTGAATATAACATATAGGAAGCAATAATCAATAAAAAATATAGATATTATGGACAACATGCTTTCAATAAGAGACCCAGACGCAGACATTACCACCACCATTTATATCGCTTCAGAACTTTTATGGCCTAACTATTTTATAGAGCTTATATTCGCAAAAAAAGAACATAGCTGATATATTTACGAAACCTACTATTAAAGCTTAATACGGACTGAAACTTGATACTATTTTAAAAAATATTATACCAATGATTGTAACAATACTTGACACATCAATTTGCTACAATTTTACACCAAAAAGTGACAAAAATTATTAATCTTTGTTTCGGAATGTATGTTAATACAACTACTCTTGCTCTTCTTTGCTTTCTTTTCTATTGCCCCATCCTCTGTTAAGAGGCGGAATCTGGGTGAGTTGGAGTGCTCTTACGCGCTCTGTTCGTGTTAGCTAAAAACTCCATCCTGGTCACTTAATTTGCCAAACAACAAGTACCGTATTATAAACACATTTTGGTATTTCATACATGCTTACCTATTAGTCCCCTGCATCAAACCGTAAATAGATATGGGATAAGATCGATGCTGCCCTTAACGTTACTGCTCCAGTAAGCGGCATAAGAAAGAGCTAAATAATTGTGGTGTGGGCCTCAAGGAAACCCTCGAACCATATAACAAATTATTTCATGTATCAGTATTCCATGGGCTTTCTTTTCAAATTTTTTGTTTTAGTGTAAACTTTTCCCGCTGCTCTTCAAGTAATTTAAATGATATTATGCAGTTTGTAAAATAACAACATTAAACCACAGCGAGGCTTCTAAGAAAGCCTGAGAGGAACACCGGTTACTTTTGGTAAAAAAAGCTTATTAGGCCGCTTATTTTACAAACATGTTAATAATTTTTTGCATAAAATAGTTTTATTAGGGATTAGTTAACATATTAAAAATTATTAGTTTTCTGCAAATCCAGAGGAATTGCGAGTATACTACTATTTTTATAATAACTTAAACCTTCCTTTTCTTCCAATAATTGTCAGAGAATATTACGAAAATTTTTTTTTCAATAGCTGAAGGATTTTCTTAATTTTATACTGTGGTATTAAGAGGAGCTGCCTTCGCACTTCCACAAATTTATCACTCCCTATAATAGCCTTGTACGGAAATTTCTCAGAGTGGCACACGCTAAAGTCAAACGCCCATGAAGCCTCCTCTGCAAGCAATTGATCCTCCTCGTGGACGTACTGCAAACGAGGGGCTGCACAAAGTTCGTGCTCATGTTGCTGGGTTACAGGTGTACACACTGGCTCGACACTGAGTCTCCTCCTCTTGTTGAATATCTGCACCTCGTCGGTTTTGTCGTATGTAATTTCTTCTGGAGAGAGTTCAACGTAAGCTTTGCAAATATAAAAATAGTTGGCAAAGTTATATCCAGAACCCTATAAAATTTCGAAAAATCTTTATAAAACGCTGCATGAGACAAAAAAACCTTTTTTTCCAGGCTACTAATCTCCTCATGCAAAATAGAAAGTAGATGAGGTGCTATCTGAGGGGGAGAGTTAAGAACACGCTCGTTTAAAATAAGGCCAAGTCCTTAAACATAACGTTAAAAGTTGCGAAAATGCATCTCAGTATTAGGATAATACCTTTATTCTTGTTCCCAAATAATCGGTGTATTATTTTTTTTATAATATTATCACAGCAATTTTTTAAAAGATACTGCTTAAATTCAAGAATAAATTTTTTATTTTCATTTCTATGAATATCGATGACAGAAATAAAACCGATACAGTCTTCCGAACCTAATAGCACATATATAATAACTTTACAGTTTCAACAAAGAAAGTAATAGAAGGTAAGTATACCTTCAACTTTAATAGAACTCCCAATGTAATTTCTCTGGGATAGTATTGTTATTGCCCAACCCCTTGTGTCAATTTTTTCTCTCCAAAATAGCTGATGAAGTAACCTCTGAATAATACCCTCATCCTCTTTTTGCAAATGGTGAACCACAAATTCTAGGCTTATAGCATCCTAAGGACGTACTTACCCCGCTTAAAAAATTGTTAAATATTGCAGATAGTATATGCACAATAACCTTTTGAGTTAAGTAATCGTTAAGACTACCAA